GGCCTGCAGCCAGGCCCGGAGCAGCGTCGGCGAAGGGCGAGGGCCAGTCGGGCGCAGCAGGAGCCTTATTTCTCTCACGCAGATCGCACCTTCCTCCCACGACGAGCGTCTTTTGCTTTGGGTGGTCAGTAACGGGATTAGGGTGGCCCGAAAGAAAATCTCGACTGCCTCAAGTTCTTAAGTCCTTGGCAAAGCCTCGAGTACCTGCCGATGTGCAACACGAGGTGCTCTGTACCGAATCTACCGATTTCCTAAAGCTTTTCATATTTATTGTTCTTTTATATTATTACATGGACACAGTCCAGAACAGCTTCCCCAGAATTCGTCTGCTGAGTGTTTCTGCTCTCCCCGCCTTGCTTCTCCTGTGAAATGAATATTTAGTACCCACTAGCCAAAACAGAGGCCGCACATGGCATTGCCCACAATGCTCTCCTGTAGCAGAAGTGCGTCTCCTTGTCAAAAATAGAAAATTCGTCCTTATTTATGAACAAGTTAGCTTCCTTCTACACATACAATGGCACATATAAAAACCTTTTCCTTAAAGTAATTAAGGCAAAAGCTCAGCCTCAGGAGTTTTCAGAGGACTGATAATTGCATGAACTAAAACTTCAAATATTTAGCATAGCTAAATGTTTTCCGTAATATGTCCTTCAGACAAGATCAGCTGTTCCTACTGCGTAGTGTTTCAGTATGGAGTCAGGAAAAGAAACTTGACACTCTCACAGTGCTACACCATCTTTTTGAAATACGACAAGGGGGCAGTTTGAACAATGCTATTGGCACTAATGCTTTAGACTGAACATTTATGCAAACCTATTACCAATTCCAAATACATTTAATATCTCGATTTGTTTAATTATTTGCAAGTGTTCTAGCTAAAAAAGTTTGTTATGCATTTTCCACCCTGTTTTGTGGTATAGAAAACATGGCCATTCGGAATTTTTTGACTGAAATAATTTTATTAATAACTACAACTATTAACAACAATGATTTAGATTATAAATACTGGCAAGCCTAACTTCAGTTATTGTAGGTAAATTCAAGTTTTCAGTCACTGTGTTTCAACATCATTTTCAATTCTGACACCCAGTCTGGGTCATCTTCCTCGAAGTCCCTAAAAATAGATTTCAAAAGGTTACATGGCAAAGCAAAATACAACTTTATTAATCTTTA